CCCCTAGAGGACAGAGTGGAACTGCCCACAGGGTCTCCAAGGCTGTCAATCTTCACGGAAGCCGACTGCCTCATCTTTCTCCCATGGAGGGGCTGGTGAGTTTGAACTGCCGATCTTTTGGTTCGCAGCTGAATGCTCTAACCACTACATCACCAGAGTGGCTTGTATCATGGATATGCTAAGTGAAATAAAACATGTCATTAAAATCCATCTCACTTGTTTCTTTTCCCTCTTTCACCGTGCCTCCTACAAAATCCAGTTTCCTCTGTGGCTCACATCAATTTGGCAGACAACACTACCACAGAACATGAACCCCATGAGAACAGGGGGCCCGGCGATTTTGGTCACTGGATCCCCAGCACTTAGTACAGACCCAGATTACAAGGCGGACGCTCCGTGTGTTGTGCTGAGTAGACAAAGCGTCCGGTTCTCACCTGGCAGGAGTCTCTGCCGGCCTCGTCCCCGGCGCAGAACATGGTGTGGTCTATCTGGCCTGGGTAGGCCTTCTTGCACTTCTCTTCACTTACCACGGTGATGTTCAAGCACTGGAGGGCCCCGGGGAACTTCACTGTCCAACAGAGACACACGGATCAGGACCACAAGGCGAGACGGAGAACGGAGGGGGTACGGCGGTCACAGCCAGGCATCAAGAGAGACCCGGGCACTCACCCTGGGGGCTGCTGGTGGTTCCCCAGCCAGATACCAAGCAAGTGGTCCCCGCAGCTGGACAACGGGCGGAGATGCCAATGGGCTTGATGTTCTGACTCTTGCTGATTTTTCTGTTCAGCTTGATGAGCATGAGGTCATTGGAGTGGCCCGGGTGAGAGTAGCCAGGATGGGGAATAGATTTGATCCCGTGGAGCTTCTGCTGGCCAGACTCATAGGCAAGCGGCAATGAATGTCGACCGAGGAGGACTCTTGGAACACTGAGGGAGATGGTGTGGATCACTGCCCACCCCTGTCGCTCCTCCAGAATGCAATGACAACTTCAGCCCCAAAACCAGGCCTGGCAACACGACCCCATCATGCCTCAACCCCAGCCCCACTCCCAGCTCCGTCTCTACCCCAGCCCCAGGCCCATCCCAGCCCCAACTCTTAACTCTAGCCCTAGTTCCTTCCCCACCCTACAATTATCAACATGCACACTGACCCCAAATCCAGCCATCCTCAGCCTCAAATCCAACCATTCCAACTCTATCCATAAGTCTAACCAACCATCCCCAGCTCAACTCATAACTCTAACCCCAACCCTCAAATCCAACCGTCCCCTACACTATCCATAACTCTAACCCTACCCCACCCTTAACTCTCCATTGATCTCCAATCTCATTTTCATCTTATCACCCCCAATTCTAGAGTCAACTCTAATCCCACCACCTTCCCCCAAACCGTCACCATATATAGTCCCAAATCCATTCCATCTCATCCTCATCCTCAACTTTAACTCCAATATTAATCCTTCCTGCACTCCCAAGCCATCAACCTATTCATTCTCAACTTTGGTGCAGTGGTTTAAGTGTTTGGCTGCTAACTGAAAGGTCGGGAGTTCAAACCCACCAGCTTCTCCAGGAGAGAAAGAGGAGACAGTCTGCTTCCATAAAGATTACAGCCTTGGAAACCCTATGGACAGTTCTCCGTCCCATAGGGTCGCCGTGAATCAACTCCACGGCTCACAGCTACAACAATCCCCAAGCCCAGGTAAGGATTACCCAACACACACGCTTACTTGTGCTTACTTTCTATCTGCAGTGAACAATTTCATGAGTGCAAAACACGGGAAGTGGTTCATTACAGACTCATAAGTAAGCAGAAGTCAGCCCATGCTTGCCTTGCTACCTGGGTACTCTGATCCTATCAGGGATTCTAAAATGGAAAAGAGGCTTTGATTCTGTAAGGAGCTCTGGTGGCCTAGTGCCTAAGGGGCTTGACTGCTAACCAGGAGGTTGGTGGTTCAAACCCACCCGTCACTCCACAGAAGGAAGACTGGGCAATCTACTTCCGTAGAGATTTACCACCTCGCGAACCCAGTGGGGGTCGCTATGAGTCGGAATCGAATCGATGGCAACTAGTTTGTTTTTTTTGTTTGTTTGGTTTGATTCTGTAGGAAGGTGCTGTGGGGTTGGGAGAGACAGATGCCAGCCCTATAGGTAGGAGAATCTTTGACGTGCTAAGAGATGTGAAATTGTTCACGGCATATTAGTAACTAAGCACAAGTAAACCCGTGCTTACCGGGTAATCTGACACCGATCAAGCCCCTCGTTAACTCTCAACCCTGAACCCCACACTTATTTCCAATTCCAGCCCCATTCCCAATCCTATCTTTGTGCTTGCCGCTTTCTCATCTCCACCGCACCCCATCTCCAATTTTAGGGCCAATCTATAGCTACAGTGAAGTACCCCTAACTCCCATTGGCCATCGGACCCCCAACCCCACCACATTCTCCCCAGCTCCAGCCCTGATCCCGGCTGGCCCTGCCCCCCAGACCCTCCCCCGGGCGCCCTGCCCCCCCCATGCGGCCTCCCTCGCCCCTGTGCGGCCCTGGCCGTGCAGCCCCCACTCACTGCTTCCTGCAGTGCGCAGCCGTCAGCAGCCACTGGGGGGCCACCAACACCGCCCCGCAGTACAGCTGGCTCGGCGTCATCATCAGCGCGGCCTGCCATTTCTGGGAGTGCTTCTCGCATTCGGACCCGTTCATGATGCGGCTGCTGCTATCGTCCGACCGAGTGTCCTCCTCGGTTCCGGCCTCAGCCCCAGACGCAAGGTCCTGTCCATTCCCAGACGGGCCGGTGGACGACGGGTTGTCGCAGGAAGCATCCTCATTTGCGACCACAGGCTCTGGAGGCAGAACATGGGTGGGGCGGGACTCAGGCGCCATGGGCGGGGCCATGGGCGGGGCTTGCATTCGGGGGCGGGTCTTGGGCTCAGGAGGTGGGGCTTAGGCTCAAGGCGCAGAACCAGCCAAAGACGACTGACCTTTCTGATTGGGCGTGGTCAATGATTTAGGGGCGGAGCCAAGGCTCTAGAGGCGGAGCCTGGAGAATAAGCGTGGGACCAGAGATCAATGGAGGCTTAGACTCAAGGACCCAGCCTGGGTTCAGGTGTTGACACTGAACTCTGATTCGACTTCAGGGATTCCTGACAGCGGCTAAAGCGGAAAAGGTGGGACACAATTTCCATGGGGTGATTCCAACTCGTAGCGACCCCTCC